AAATTAAATTAAATATAATTAAGTTAATAATATATTTATATTATAATTTGTATTATTATTTATATTTATAATATAAATGATATTATATATATATATATATATTAAAATTTAAATATTTATTTCCTTGATAAAGAAAAAGAATTATACAATAAAGTAATAATATTAAAAACAAAATTTATGGATTTTCGTATATTTGATGAATGAAATGAAAAGAAGTAATGTATCAGGCGAGAATATCACATAAGTTAGGAATAAATGGTTTAGTAGAAAGATATCGAACGAGTTCTTTCGTTTTCGTTTGTCGTATAAAGCAAGTATATTCTAGGACGGAACCAATCCAACATCCAATTCGAGAGTGTTTACATGTCAGCGACTTTATATCGTGCCGAGCGCTACAAATTGGACGAGCGCCAAACTCTACGCTTTAGATGTCCACCGCAGATGTTCGGAAGGGGATGGGGTTGGTGATGGGGAAAGAGTCTCGACTAGGGATGATAATTTCAATCCGTCGAATCTCTTATTCGAATTTCTTTCTTCGTATTCTCATTAGAATGACAATCGAAATATATCGGTAATACTTTTTGGTTACCAACGAAGACAGAAAACTACCAAAATTTACATTTACAACGAACGAATTTACGTAAGACGTGTATTTATCTTTTGAATAATATTTCACAAAATACATCATTATATTTGAGTGTAATTCTGTCTTTAATACAAACAAATGAAAATATTTTTTCTTACTTGTACTTTTAATGTAAAACTTATGTAAAACTTATGTTAATGTAATACATTCGTGACCTACGTTATTTTTACTGTATACCGCATAGAAATAAATGGAAATTTAAAACGTATTACTATAGAATACTGAAAGAATAATATTACAAATTTTTTACAATTTTTCAATATAATATATGATCAAAATAAATATAATATAAATAAAGAAATTTACGATTTATTTAATATTTCATTTAAAAAAAAGTATTCAATAAAATAATATATAAAATAAAGTAAGAACAACGTTGTAAATTTCAATGTGTTAATTAACCAATAAGATAATAAAAGAGAGAGGAGAAGGGGGTTAAGGGATATAAGGTAGTGAAACAAATAACTGATAAGTCGGTCATATTTCCACTTGTCGTTTTTTTTAGAGGATCCGTAATTACGATCCGGAATATAAATTACATACGAAGGTGAACACGTCGTAGTCCTGAGGATGTCGAGAAAAAACGGACAGCACTCTATCATTGTAATGCGAACTCGAGGGCCCGAACGGAGGCACTTCGGTGAGAAGGACAAAGGAGCTTTAAACGCTTTTCCGGTGCCCCGAGTATTTTTCTCTTTGATGCCGAGTCTATCCACGTCGTTGTCGTAGTGGTAGTAGTAGTTGTAGTAGTAGTCGAGTTTAAGCCCGAAGGCTCCAGGCTTGCTTTCGAAGCAAATGACAAGGGGTGGAAAACACGGGGGTAGGGGTAGAGAGAAAAATAGAAAAAGGAGTCACCACCACCACCGCCTTCTTCCTTTCCTACTTTTTTCTATTTTTCTCTCTCTTTCGTTCTCCTTTTGTTCGTAATCTAAATGCTTTTCCTTTTCTCTCTGGCCCTTTCCGCAACGTTTATGGCCAAACAAAACGCGGCAATAAGTTTTCCCCCACCTAACACGGGTTTTTCTTTTTCTTGTTTTACCTTTTTTCTCTTTTTACTCTTCTTCTTCTTTTTCTTCTTCTTCTTCTTCGTGGTCTTCTTATTCTTTTGGTTTTCTATTTCCTTCTATTTCTTTCTCTCACTCTCACTCACTTACCCCTCTTGCGTCGTCGCATTGACGTTGACGAATCGAGAAAAACGCTTGCGCGGTTCTTCACAAGGCAAATATCTTTGTTCTTTCTTTTTCTTTTTCTCAATTTTTCTTCTATTTTCCTCCCTACGTCTTTCGTTTTTGCCAACGGGGAAAATTTAAAAATCTGAGATAGAGGAAACAACGACTCGAAGCTCCGTTTAACGGAGCATGAACAAGCGATACTACTACTCACGTATTTTTGCCGAATTTTTACTCGAAGATATGCAAACGAATCTTCTTTATACATCCTAATATTTATCTTTTCAATAAAGAATATTTTTGGTATATTTGTTTTTATTCCCATATTTAAATTACTTATTAATCTGCTGTCATAGCAAGAAGATACTAGTGGAAAAATAAAAAAACTCAATTTAAAAAGAAAAACCTTTAAAGTTCTTCAATTTCGTTAATGTCTTAATATTTGTTAAACGTCATTTTATTCAATTCCCAAATTGCTCGTATAAAAAATTTATATCTCAAGAAATGAATAAAAGCAAAACAAAAAAATATCATGTGGGCAGATCACACGTGTTAGAAGTGAAACCTTCGAAAAACTAAGTTTCGAGAGAAAGAGACGACTGCAGAATATCAGGAGTAGGATAATTGTTGGGTTTATTTGTTATAATATTATTATTATATTATTGTTATCACATTCAAAAATTATTATACGTTTTATTGAAAACACATATAAATA